GCCCCCGCGGGCAGGGCCGCTTCGGAGGCTTGTGTGGGAGGGGAAAGGCTTTCCCGGTGGGAGCTGCCGTGCCAGGAGCGGGGCTCGGTGGTCCTTCTGGGTCCCGTCCTGCGTGTCCCTGGGCTCTGGAGCGGGTGTTCAGGGGCCCCTTTGCAGGGTTGCTGAGCGCGAGCACAGCCAACAAGAAAACTGTTTTCACGGCTAAAATGGACATTTGCTTTGCTCCTGAGGTATTTCCTGTATGGAAAAATGTGTTTGCTACTTGCAGTAGTGCACGGCTTCATATAAGGCGAGAAGTGGTTTTCTTTCAAGTTGGATTTATGGTTATGAAATGATCTTAGGAGTTAGTCCTCTTAAGAGTTAGAGGGAATGGTAACAAATAGGTTTTTGCTCCTGCTTTCAAAATGTTTTGGGTAACAGAGATGAACACTGTACAATTGTAAAGGAAATAAAATGCAGATTATTCAACCTTAACTGTTATGTTAAAGTGGAAGGCTAAATAAATGTGTTCCATGCAAGCAGTCACATGGCATGAGTTTTTGTACAAGCTTCAGACATGAGGTTGTCCCAAACCAGGCTTGTTATCAGTGGTCAGTGTTATTTGCAGATGTTAATCTTGGATTATTTTACTGACTTAAAGCTGCAGATTAAGATAATAAATGTATTCTCAAATTCACCTTTTTTTTAATTCCTTCAATCTCAAGAAATGTTTCTGTAAGTAGCTTCAGTAAAGCATGAGTGACTTTCCCATCTAGTTGAGATATTTAAATGCATGGCTTCTTGAAAATGCTCCACTGGCTCATCTACTGAAAACTTACCCTGAGATAGCAGATTAAAAATGAATGTCAGTTATAAAAGATTTAATTTTTACTTGCTTATCTTTCAGGTGAACGTGTATGAAAATACGAGCATATATATAAAGTTTTATAAACAAGACTTACAGTTCTTTGCTTCTGCACAGCAGCACTTTCTATGGCTTTCCTACTTGATACTCTGTAAAAATGAGAAATAACATACCTGAAAACATTATTTATAACTTGACAAAACGTAGCTTTAAAAATTTAGAGCACAACTTTTAAACAAAAAGCAAACAGCAATTTTAAATAGAATTCTAAGTAGTAGAATAACCAGTAGTCAATTACAAGTAGTGCTGAAGAAGTGAGTATTGGAGGTAATATTTGGAGGAACAGTGATCTGGTAAAGAAGCCCAGTCCTAATAAGTCTGACCCTTTATGGGACAATGTCTTGGGCCATTTGCTGGATTTATAGTGCTGGTCTGATCTTCAATTACTTTATTTGATTGACAGTTATGTGTTACATGGGTTATGTGCTCAGGTGCATGAGAGAAAAATCAGTTTGTACGTGGAGCTTTGTCAAAGAGTGTAAACTAGGTAAATGTAAAAGGTAAGCTAGATCCAAAAGTATTTTGCTACAAGTAGAGTTAAAATTGCCACTGGACCCTGGGATTAGTCAATTTCTGACACTGAAATATAGGAATGAATGGAATTGTGCATCCACTTACCTGTTCTGTGAGTGTATGTGCAAAACAGGGATAAATGGGGACGCTTGTGCTGTTCATGTTGAACCTGCCACCTTCTAGTTGTTTGATGCCTCTTCTAGTACTACAGGGCAGAGTAATTGTTCCCTTGTTAACCTTTTGTGTTTCACTGAGGCTTCTGAAAACTTGGGCAATATTCTCACTCAGGTGTTCAGACTGAAGATTTATAATCTACATAATTGCTGTCTGCATGGAAACTGATCCCATTTCTCACCCTCCTGTATACTTTTTTCCCTTTCTTTGGTGTACTTTTTGAGATGAGAGGACAAGAACTGCAAACAGCATCTAGGATGTGTGCACTGTGGACTGATGTAGTGGCATAGAGATTTTGTTTTCTGTTCATCTAATCATCTCCACTAGTCAGTTTGTTTTGACTATTGATAAGCACTGAGCCGGAATTTTCATAAATCTATCTTCAGTGACCATAAAAATCTCATTTTTGAGTGGTATAATTGACTTGGAACCTGGTATGTGTAAAAACACATTTGCTTCTTCATCTTCAGTACTTTACCGCACAGGTGATGAAAAGGCAGGTGAAAAGTCTGTAGCGTGAAATCAGAATTACAAGTTTGAACAGTCAACCCACAGCTTTATTATCAAAATCTTAACCAGCCAGCAGGCTGCTTCACCTTACTGCCTGCCAACTTTTTCAGTCACCCATGAACATGCAGTGAAACCCAGGCTTGATTAGCTTGCCAGATGGGACTGCACTGGTTACCCCTGTACATTTTGACAGGGTTTGTTTTCATTTACTCATATGCTGGCATATTCTTCTTGGTAAATATGTTTAAGGCAGTTATCTGTTTTTTCACAGCCAAGAAGCTTGTCGTCTGCTATTTCACATCTGTGGACTTTGCCATAGAATGATGCTCTTGAAATATACTATGGTAGCTTGGGTTTGGAGCCATATAATTATTTTTTATTAGGTAACCAAGTTCTTGCAGTTTGGGATGCTAGAGGTGAGTTCTGTGGAGAATGCAGAAAACAAACCTAATAAAGGATGAGTATAAAACCTTGACTGTTATTTTACATGCAGAAGTAAGTGCATGTTAATTGTGGTTTACTGACTGAAAATGCATTTCATCATTCAGGTTAAAATTTTTTTTTTCTTACCCAAATTTCAAGTCTTTTCACAACATAAAACATAGGCTTGTATTTAAATCTTCCTGAAATAATTAAATTACAGTGGCTTGAATCATTGCCTCTAAGTGAGGAAATGGTGCAGGGACCCAGGTTACTCCTGTGAGTTTCACTTATAGTCCTTTTGTCAGTCAACCTGGGGGAGCAGTATCAGATTCTGCTACATCAGAGACAGTATTAAAATAATTAAGTTGAGTTTAGCTTTTAAGCTTTAATTATTTCTATGGAACTGATGCCTACCATTTTTCCATGTTTAATCTTTACTTCTTATAGGAAGTTTTATTTAAACTATATATATGTGTTGAAGAAGGGCTTCTTTGGCTTCCTTTTGAATAAGGAAGAAGTAGTGTAACAAGTCTTTCAAAGTTTTGCTACTGTGGGGAATGACTACTTGTGGCCTAGTTTTTGAGATGTTTTTGTATATAAACAATTTACAATCCTCAGTTATTTGTTGTCTTACTTGCTTTTGCAGGAAATGAGCTGATTATCTTTTTGGCTGACCAAAAGGAACCCTACTTTAAGCCCCGTGTCAAGTTACCAATGAAGTAAGTATTGCTATTAAATGGTAAAAGGTATATATAGCCATAGTTTTAGCCATAATATTATTGCAGGATATGTCACTGCCTATAATAATGCTTACTGATAGTATCATGTTTATCAGAAGTTGAATTGCTGTTATAGCTAAACTTCATATCCTGTGTTTTTGTGGGTTTTGTTATTCCCTCCTATCTTGGAAAGAGATAATTTGTTTAGTGCATTAGAAGTTACCTGCTTTAAATTCTTAAGATAATGAGCCATGTTTGTGTTTGCAAATAGAGTCTCTGAGTAGGTAACTTAGTAAAAAAAGATAGAACAAACACATGTAGGGAGCAGTGGTAAGATGTGGCAGAAGATGGGAGGAGATAACATTGTCTTTAAAAAGATGTAGCTGTCTGACTTCTGCTGCTTGAATTGTTCCTTTATGGTCTTGCTCTTGGAAAGCAATCAAAAAGATCCCGAAACACATTTTTGAGGACTTGTTCTACAAAAAATGAAGGGATTTAATGAAGTCTAGATAGAATTAACAAACAGGAGTTAACTGAAGCATTCTTGTTAGCTGAAGTTTAGAGTTAAAAATGTCATCCTGCCTTGGAGGAACACACTGCAGAATGCTTGATTTGAAGCTACTTTTGCAATAGATAAGGGCTTACAAAAAAGCAAGGTTGTTGAAGGATAATGTTGTATTGGACCAACTAATAATAGCTGGGACGAAAAGGCAAGCCTTGGAACACACAAGTGCTTCCAATTTTCATGCACACATTTGTACAGTTGTTTGCATGTGGGTTTGTTGTTTGTTTATTTTATTTTAGATCTCTTGGTGTTACCATAACCAGTGTAGTTCCTGGAGATTATGATGGTGATTCACAAATGGATGTCCTCCTGACTACCCGGACACAAAATCATGGCAAAGATGAACTTTCAGTGTTTATTTTTTGGGGGCACAACCAAACATTAGGTGAGTTGCTGAGACTGCTTATTAATATGGTTGTTAGGCTTTTTAATAACTCAAAATGTTGTCAGAAAGTTGTAACTCATTTTACAGTGTATTGATAGTTTTTACAAGTAAAATGGAGATGAGCAGCTACTCAGCTTCATACCCGTGTAGTATTTGGCTGCTACAGTTTTCAGCTAATGGGGCTTAGAGCAGTCGCAGGTTAATTCAGGCAATGGCTGGTGTGTAGTGAGGCTGCTGGGAAGGTATGTGATGCCTACGTGGGTATTGGAAGTGTGACAAGTCAAGAGGAGGGCACTGTCATAAAATATGGAAACTGGAAAGAAGACAAACATTACGGAGAAGCTAAGGAAATGGGGATGATCCGGCAAGGAGTTTGGATTACAAGTGAAAGTCAAGTCTGAGAGGTAATAACCTGATTAGGACTTCAAATCCTCACTTCCCATTTAAGCAGTCTGCCTCTAATTTATTTCAAGCACTCAATGTATATGATTAAGAATGTTTTCTACAGTGACAAAACATTAAACAGGGGTCTTATGTACAATGTTAAATTCTTAAGACTGTCTCCATCCCAACTATTTAAGGTTTTGTGTGTGTATGAGATTGCAGTCATGCATAGAAATAGGTTTCACTAAGATCTATTTAAAATAATTTGTTGAAGAGTTTAGTGGAGAGAGAAGTTTCAGCATTTTAACTGTAACTCAACTTTCCTGCATAATTTCTGGAAGCCATTTAGTTGTTTCTACTCAGTTGTGGCTGATTTATTTTTTTATTGTAAAACTGATGGTTATAAATCAATAGAATTATGCCCAAGTTAAAAATGTGAATTACATCATCAATTTGGCAACTAATTCAAATGGTTATTTTCTGTTTTCAGATCTTAACCATAAAAGTATGATAAATAAGACTTTTCTAGATGAGCCTCTAGTAATGGAGTAAGTATGACCTACTTTTTTAGAAAGCTACATTTATAATGGCTGCTGAGAGCAACTTAAATATAATGTAATGCTAAAATTTGAAATACATGATTGTTATCTTAAGAACTGTCTGGTTTGTGTAATATCAACTGTTCTACTAAAAGATGATGAAACAGCAATCATCTTTATAAATATTCTATGTGATATCAACCTGGCAAAAGTAACTAAATAAGCCTTTAATTTCTTTAATTTCAGTACTCAGTTTTATGAAGAAAAAGAGTCATTCATTTTGTAAAGGAAAGACCTTTCTGGCTTACCTAACTGAGCATGTACCCCTTCCAAGCTGCACTTCCCTTTGTGAAATGCTGAACATGAGAGGGGGGAAACAGATCTGGAAAATCAAATGCATGGTAGAGTGTACAATCTTGAAAGAAGCATAGTACTTACTACTAGCTCAGACAAGAGTCAAAAGCCAGAAAAGACTTCACAGCTGAAAATTCTTCATGGCTTGGTAGGAAATGCTAACCAATTACAGGTTAACCTAAGAACAGATAATTTCTACTCCTATACTGACTAGGGTGATACTAAAATTTTTTTGCATTTTCAGCTTTAATGGAGACTTGATTCCTGACATCTTTGGTGTCACAACTGATTCAAATAAGCCCCAGATATGGATAGGCGGGTAAGCAAAGGCTTTGATCATTAGCAGGCATGTCAATAACTTACTCATGGTGCATCCCCTTATTAAAGAGGCACAAGACTCATGTTTAACTGGGACTGTGAAAACCTATCAATCTCTCTCATTTCCATGTTCATCTTTAAACATTCTATGACACTCTGCATCTAACTTTTGAAGTATCGTTTTATAGTGGAAGTAGGTGTTTTGTAGGGGAAGCAGATGTTCCTTGAGAGCTGATACGAGTGTGAGTCTAGGGGCTTTGAAAAACAAAAAAAGCCTAAAAAGAAGGAGTCTTTTATTAGAACTCCTCCCCAATTTGGAGATTTTTCTCTCAATTGTAAAAGAATGTGCTCAAAAGATGGCAGAAAATAATTTTTAGGATACAAGTTGGATTACAAATGTCAAAATAAATACACTGTTCTTAGCTTCGCGATTATATGAAAACCACTCTTGACATTTTCTTTCTGAACTATTTTTTTTGGCTAATAATAAATACTTGCAAAAATAAATACTTGCAAGTGTTTTCTTGGAGGATTAGCCAGTTGCTTGAAGAAATTTGCCATTTCTGACTTGCTATTTTGCTTTTAAGTGGAACTGAATACATTTGTCTAAAAGCTTCTGTGTGTGTTCCAACTGTTTCAGGTTTGCATACACTCAATACTTAATTTTATTTTAAAATAGTGTATCAGGTAGTCTTCGTGGCTTCCTTTAGCTGTTGTTTCAAGATGTCTGTTACCACTGGAGAAATCAATATGATGATTACTCAGTCTCTATGGCAACAATATATCCTCTTTCTATGGTGCATCTCTATGGCCCTTAAGAAATATTTAAATAAGGCTTTTCTCCCACCTCATTACCAAGTTTAACAAATCTTTACCTCTTGCTCCTAAATGGCTATTTTCCTTTCCTTGGAGATCATTCAGAAGTGATGTAGTATCAATAATATGTAAATGGAAACTATACCCTTCTCAGCAATATGGTTTTGGTCATTAATCCCAACTTGCATTTTATCACCATTACTTTTATTTAAATTGATGGCTTATGGAACAGATTTCAGATTCACAGTGGTGCTTCTGAACACTTTGCAATTATGATATATTGAAAAATGTTATGAGCTGTTGAAGATATGAAACAATGGGAAAGATAGGTTTAATTTTGTTGAAGAAATCCTTTCAGAAGCATTAGGCTACAAATAAACTTACTCATTACAGCTCAAAATCAGACTGATTGCAGCATAAGCCATGTCTTGTACATAGAAAACAGCTTTGTCATCTGTGTAGAAAAGCATTTTTCTTTTCTTAATCTAAAATGTTTTTATATTTATACTAGAGCTGTATAAGGAACTTTTTTGGCTATCTTCAAAACTAGAAAAACCTACAGAAAATACTTATTTATTTAGGATTAAGTGATTCTTTTTAACATTTCTAAGACTTAGTTACGATCTTTGGGAAGTAATCAGAAGCTTATTTTTTATTTTGTCATGAAATGAGTCAGGGAAGATAAGGATTTTAGTAATACGTATGCAATGTCACTGGGATAAACAAAGTCATTCCAGACAGTAGTAATATCACTGTCCTGATTTTGAGATTTTTCTGAGTGTATTAGCTAAGGGTTCTGAAAGTAACATGTCTGATGATTCAACCACTGTGACTTCTGACGGATTTGTTTTATTTCAGTGTGCTGCCACTAGGGAGGTTTGCTGGAAGTCCAGTCATTTGTAAAGAAAAGTATTAACCTGCTTAGGAAATGACAAAATTAGTCTCTAGTCCATCATGATGTGAGAGCTTACTTATTATGTTGATTTTTTTTTTTTTTTTAAGTGAGTGAAAATAATCCATTTACATGCAGCAGACAGGAGCTACTTTAACAGCATGTGATTATGTCCATTTTTGCTCATCTTTATTAACGCAAAAGCAGGTTTCAGAAGTATTGATAGCAAAAATACTTGAGGAAACTGGGGAGGACAGCAATCAGTATCTCAAAATTTACAGTCAAAATCTATGCACTAAGTTTCACTTTGTGGGTTAAAAAAAAAGTTGTTTTAATATTATCTAACTGAAGCCCCTATGCTGTGAATCATCCTTTGCAGAACCTTTCAAGCAATTACTCTGGTTACTTCATGTATTGTAAGCCAAGTAGGAAGTTTAGCTTAGCATTAGGAGAACATTTTCCATTTTATTTAAAGTTTCACAATTTTTTTTTAAAGCTATATCATGATTACCACTCCCCAGGTGCTGCTGAAACATACCGCTTTTTATTCTTGTCTGCAGGAACTTGTCATGGCATGCTGTGTTGGAAACTCAAAGTACAATGTATATACCACACTCTCATGCATTTATAGACTTAAATAATGACTTCACTGCTGGTAAGTCATAAATGTGTTAAATACCTTCCTAAAAATATCACTAAGTATACTATGTAATGTATTGCATCTTCTGTCTGATACTTTAGTAAATTTCACTTATGGTTGTAAAGAGTTGATTCTGGAATGTTGCACTTGGCAAGTACCTGATTTTGCTACTTCTGATTTATTTCTTTTAAATATCTACAGTTTTAAAATTCTGGCTTTTAAGAAATAACTGCCAAAATTAATAACCTAATAACATTTTCTACTTCTTGATGATAATTTAAACAGAATTGATGCTTGTTTGGAATAATGTTGTGTTTACCAGTAAAACATTGTTTCCAGTTCATTGTTAAGCTCTAGTATTCAGGTTGTGACTGAACCAGAAGCAGAGCTATGTTTTCTTCACCTTGAGTATATATATTCTTTTGAGTTTTATAGTTCATTCAGAAGAATATTTTCGTGACTGGACTTACATTTTTTTTTCTATAATTATAATAATTATTTTAATATTCATTCTATTTTGTTGTAGTTAATTCTATCACTGAGAAAACAGCATATTTATTCTTCTATTACTATATGAGCAATCCTATAACCTATTTGTAGTTCAGTGTTCACAAAAAAGTACTGGAGACAACTTTTCTTATGGTGGATAAACTGTACTCTTCCTTTGGTGGTGGTTTTGTTTTGTTTGGGGTTTTTTTATTAAACACACAATGCAAATTAGCCTTTGCTTATTACAGTGAAGCTACTCATCACTTACATGCCAGGTTCATACCTCCAAGCACAGTTAAATATTGTGCTAAACTTAAATTTCCTCACACACTAAATTAATTCTGAAATGCTTTATCTGCTGCTTGGTGTGCAATGTGCATAAATTTGTATCTACTAATCTTGGAAAGAGAGCTTAATTTTTTCCTATTTAGTAGCATGGGACTGAGAGAGGAAAGAGTCCATAAATTTAATTAAGATGCTTAGAAATGCTGGGGATTAAGTTAATTGCTTTAGTGCTTAGTCAAACCTTCATGTTCAGTTCTGGCACATTGCTGCATGAAGCTGTCAAGTGGAAATTCCAACTGGAAAATTAAATACACGGTTGCTTACCATAATCAGTGTCATGTAATAACGAATTCTTACATAGTTCTATAAATCTTTTGAAATTTTGTTTTAGTGGCATGGTCAGCATAGACAAGCAATCCAGGTAACATTTTAACATAAATATGTTGAAATCTAAACTCACAGGTAGGTGGCTTACATAGCTCAATCATAGATCAATTTTTGCAAGAGTACACACAGGTTTTATGCTAGTTAACTGCACAGAGAATGTCCAGAGAATTCCAGTTAGTGCTAGTGAGATACAAATAAATAGAAACAAAAGTCAGGATCTTAGTGTGAGGACTGCCAGGAGCTTTTACGGATTCCTATCTGCATTCACATCTCAAGATGCAAGTAGAAGCTTGAAGCACTCCTTATAGAATGATCCTGACTTTTACTTGCCTATAACAGTAAGGATATAACACCTTAGGTTGAAATATGTGTTATGTTACAGCAACCTGAGGAAAATTTCAAGGAAAATAATTCATTGGGAGAAGAAAACTGGAGAAAATATTACCATCAAATTATTTTTTGGAAAAAAAATGTTTTGCTTCTAAGATGGGAATGTTAAATTTTTTTTTCCTGTCCCTATGAAAACTGGACCCACTGTGAACAAGGCAAATGTTGCTGAAAAATAATAGTTTATCAGGGATATCTGATACTTCATGACTGACGTGTTATTCCAAGACTGCCTGCTTCCAAAGTGAAAACTCAGCACTCATTTCGTCCTGTCTGCACATTTATGTTGGTTCCCTGACATCAGCTGCAGTAATGACTCAGGAGCTGGGCCTGAGGAGGAGCACAGTTTGCTCTCACTTGAGTTGTTAAGCTGATCCAACTTGCCATGCAGCTTCAGGATTGCCACAGCCAATGTAAGCACAGAGAGAAGGCAGGCTCCTATTTTAGTCACAGCAGTTGTAGCCTGCCTTTAACCAGGCATGAAATTGCACCTTCAGTCTCCTTGTGACTCTTCAAAAAAATATCTGCTTAATGTTCTCAGCATGTCTCCTGTAATTTGTGTTAGTCTGTACAGAGTTGGGCAAGTGACTCATAAAAGCAGTATAAAAAAAAGGGGCAAAACAAAAATGAACCTGTGTAATCATCTCTAAGGTACTGATAGTTCTGAGATTATAAATGCACCCTGCCAAACAGTGGCACGATAAGGTGCTGATATTACTGTAGTGTCCCCACAGCTAGTCCTGTGCCTTGCTCTGTGCAGTCTGGAATGACTTTGCAGAAAACAGCTGAAAGTGTCTATTTGTTTAGGTCTGTCCCTTGTTAGCACAGCTGGGGTGGCACAGCCCTACTGTGCCCACAGAGAGAGGAGTGCCAGGCACACTGGGTTATTTCTCAGTGGAGTTTGTTAATTATTGGTTGGATCAGGTAAAGCTAGTGAAGAGGAGAGGATTCTTGTGACTCAGTATTCACCTGCACTACTGTTCTTGAGTTGGAACACCACCTCATTAAGAATAGGTCCTGGTATTCACTGAAATCATATTAATTAGGTAGTAGGCACTAAGGAGGATGTAGGTCTGCATGCTGAAATCCTGTGTTCCAAAACACTGAATCATGACATTTGATGATGCTGTGGTACTTTTTGCCTGAAAAAAATCAGAGTATTTACTCTGATTTACAGAAAATGGTAATATTAATTAATATGAAGGGATAGTTGTACCTAAAATGGATGCACTGAGTTTTGTGTGCAAATAAAAACTGAACCTTCAGAATATACCATCTGTACTTGTTTTGGGGGTTTGGTTTTTTTAAAGACTTTTGTCTTTAAAAATATTCTGTAGTGTTTTGGAGCTCTTTGTATTCTGTAACACATGCAGCCAATTCAGCGATTTTTAGCTGGGCTATTTTTGGCAACTCTATCATTATAAACAGCTTAGGAGATTTAAAGTGTGCTTGACATTAAAAAAAAAAAAAAAAAAAAAAAAAAGAAAAAAAACCCTTTTGGGCGTGAAATTTTCTTCCTTGGCATGAGAATAAAAAAAAAAAAAAAAAAAAAAAAGGAAAAAAATCCTTTCTGGGCTGAGAATCTTCTTGCTAGTTTATTGCCTTATGTGTTTTCAACATGCTGATATTAATCCCTCAAAACAGAGCTTTTAACTGACACGTTTCTCCTGCTCTGGAAAAAATGCAGTTGAATTGTAATAATTTCATTATATGAAAACATGTTCATAAAGATGTTTTTAATCCCTAACAATTCTTCATGAAGGGCTAACTGTGTAAGGATTTTATAGAAATCCACTAACCAGAACAAAGATAATACTAATCTCTCTTGGTGAGATATAAACTAGGCAGTTTCAGATAGTAATGCTGCTGCTGTTTTTAAAGAAAGCATTACCATGTAGAGATCTTAGCTTCTTAGCATTTTTAATTCCTTATATATATATTTTTATTTTTTTTTTAAGTCCATGCAAAAAAACCAAGTCTCTTCCATCTGTATTAAGCTTGTGTTGCTCTAGGGAGGAGTGTCTGGTTCACAGAACGGCTGAGATAGGAAGGAATTTCTGGAAATGTTCTAGCCAACTTACCTACCACCAGTGCACTGTTTGTATATGCACTCATATAAACTGCTTGATGAGGAAAAAACATGGTGACCCTGGTTAGAATAGGGCTACTGGCTGGCTAGTAGTACATAGTCACACTTGTCACTAGTTCTTTTTAACAGCTAGTTTAAGAAAATAATCTTGAAGCTAATAATAATAGGCTTGTCTGAACAGATTAACTTCAGGTGTATTTTATGAAGCACAACAGTTCAGGTCAGTGTTTCCAAAGCAGGCTCCTGAAGTAAGAGGCCTGTCTTTATAAATCTCATATCCTCAAACTTTAAGATTTACATCACATGATTTAAGAAAGTAAGTCTTGCACAGGATTTAGCTTTTTTGACTTACAGCGAAGGAGGTAAAAAGTAGTTCTCTTTGCATTAACCCACTGAAATAAAAGTAGATGTGAACGTGGTCTTTCTCAGAAATGCATTCAGATGTGTTAGTCAAGAGGTTGAGATGATACTGTTCAACTGAAAATACCACTATTTCCAATATGGTCACTGTGCTGAAGATTTTACAATTTAAACACATGAACCAGACTGTGGTCAAAGGACCTAGTAAGGACCACCCAGAAATGATGTAGAGTTGGGTACCACCACAGAGCATCTATTTAAAGCTAGACAATAGACAAACATATTTTGTTTATGCCACTGTTGATTTGCATCACAGCATTTTCAGATAAATACTTCAGACCAAGCTGAAGTTTAACAATAGAGTGATAGAATTAACTACAACAGTTTAGCAACAGTCAATAGTTGAATACTGATGAGCCTGTCTTAACATAAGCTCTCATAGGTGTATTGAGAATGCTTTACCTAAAGTTGAGATTTTTATATTAGCAATTATTTTCCTACGTCTTCTTTTTCAAATTAGTTAACTGTGTTTCTAATGAAAACATCTTAAAATGTCAGAAGTTCATTTAACTCTAATGATGTGCCAAATTTTTAATGCTTAATTACTGGGGGAAAGAGGGTTATTAATAAACAATAAATTTATATCCACTTAAGAAGTCTTCTACCAGTAAATCTGGCCATGGCCCTGCCAATATTTTTTTAAATGTTCAAATGTATCAGACTAAACTGCCTTGGACCCTGAATCATATTGTAACTTCAGACTACATCTGTCAGTTTATTCTATGTAATATAGCTAATGTATTAAATACTCTGTGCCTGATTTGGCTGTGATTCCAAAGTTTGGAAATACTGCTTTTGCAGCATGTCATGTGTTGAACATGGTGTGTGTAATTGCAGATATTTCTGGAACTGTTTCTATAAAATGAAGGAAAAATCATGAATTTGATTTTGGGAAAACTAAAGCAGAAAAATCATTATTGAGAAACAGCTTGCTGTAAGATAATTGCTAGTCTCTTTA